TCTCCATTTCACAGAAAGTTTTTCTAACTTCTTGTTTTGCTGCCGGGCAAATCCGTGCGGATCCGTCTGACTCCGGTGTCTGGAGGATCTTGGAGTTGGGTGTTGGGGGGGGGGTTTCTTTCCCCATTTTGGGCTGTTTCTCTCGTGGCGGTGCCGAGATCTGGGCCGTGGATGTGCCCGGGCAGGCGGAACCCCTCGGGCCGTCCTCCCGCGGCCCCGGGACACGCTGGAGCGGGCGAGAGCCCTCGGCTGATTGTGGGACACATTCTTGGGTTGCTCTTTTCCTGTCTTCTCCTTAAAGACATTCCTGGCAGGGGGAAGGGAGGGTCAGCCAGGGTCCAGGGGGCGACAGAGCCTGGGAGCACCAGCGCCCTTACCTGGGAGACAGGAGCCGTGCGCAGCCGGAGCTATCGGAACAGGCGGGTGAAGTCCCTCAGAGCCCAGCACACTTGTTTACATTCCTCGGCACTGCGAGAGACAAGGGGTGACATCAGCGGGTGGCACCTGGGGGGGGGGTGACACTAAGGGGATGTCTGGGATGTGGGGAAGGTGTCCTGCCGAGGGATGGGAGCTGGGAGCTTGGATCTGAGATGTTGGGAGAGACAGAAGGGACAAATTCTGGGACAGACCAGGCTCAGCAGCCCCCCGAGGGGACCCCTGTGCCACCACGGTGGTGGCTGGGTGGAAGGAAACAGCTTCCCAGGGTATTTGGCCTCTGGGATTGGTCCAGGACTGAGACAGGGCCGGGCAGAGAGAATCGATGTTCCCACACTGGCCAGAGGCCCTGGGCAGATCTGGCTCTGGCCCCGGGAATGGACAGGCCCGGGCAGGGCCCGGCAGTCGGAGCTGGTGACTCACAGGGACAAGGAGGTGGCTCAGGAAGGGGCAGGGATTGGGCCAGGTGGAAAAACCCGTCTGGCCATGGCAAAGGGGACAGGAGCCCTCCACGACTCCTGCTGGGCCCCGGGAGCAGGGATGGCACAGCCCAGCCGGAGGGACTCTGTGGGCAGGGCTGGGGGGGGGCTCTGGGGCTGCTGG